GTCAACCATACTAACGTTGTTGACATCGACGCACCTGCTGCCATAAAGGCAAGCTTCATGCAAATGCTGAAGAAAAGAAACAAGGCCTTCGCCGACCCTAACGGGTCGCTGCCCTATAACACTTCGGTCGTGGCCACTATTCGCACAGTGGACGACGAACCAATTTATTCCAAGCTTTACCCCTACCCGATGGGTGTAGCTGATTTTGTCGATGCCGAGGTTAAAAGCCTCTTGAAGGACAAAATCATACAGAAATCAAGGTCGCCATATAACAACCCGATATGGGTGGTCGACAAAAAAGGCACTGATGAGAAGGGCAATAAGAAGAAACGTCTCGTAATGGACTTTCGGAAGCTCAATCAGAAAACGATAGCCGACAAATACCCCATGCCATGCATCTCAATGATATTGGCAAATTTAGGTACTGCAAAGTACTTCACTACTCTTGACCTGAAATCCGGGTACCACCAAATAACTTTGGCGGAACGCGACAGGGAAAAAACTTCCTTTTCCGTAAATGGAGGGAAGTATGAGTTTTGCCGACTGCCCTTCGACTCTAAAGAAATGCTGGCAGCATTTTCCAGAGGGCAATCGATGACGTTTTGCGCGAACAAATCGGCAAAACATGTTATGTTTACGTCGATGACGTAATCATATTCTCCAAGTCTCAGGACGAGCACGTTAAACACGTCGACTGGGTACTGAAAAGCCTCTATGATGCCAACATGAGAGTGGCTCAAGAGAAGTCGCAGTTCTTTAAGACAAGCGTAGAATACCTTGGCTTTATTGTAACTAGCGAAGGCACAAGAACGGACCCGGAAAAGGTGAAAGCCATCCAGGAGTACGTCGAGCCAACAACGCTATTCGGGCTAAGATCATTCTTAGGCCTAGCAAGCTACTACAGATGTTTTGTGAAAGATTTCGCGGCGATCGCCCGCCCTCTCTCAAACATCCTAAAAGGGGAAAACGGTTCAGTTAGCAAATATAAGTCTAAAAAAACCCCCATTATCTTCAACGAAGATCAAAGACGGGCGTTCCAGAAACTTAGGAACATTCTGGCATCGGAAAACGTAATGCTGATGTACCCAGATTACAAAAAGCCCTTCGATCTGACCACCGACGCTTCTGCTTACGGCATCGGAGCGGTACTGTCTCAGGGGGGTCGACCGATCACAATGATCTCAAGGACCCTCAAGGACTGTGAGCTGAACTACGCCACTAACGAGCGAGAGCTGTTAGCGATTGTATGGGCCTTGGGAAAGTTGCGCCATTACATTTATGGCGTCAAAGAAATAAACGTATTTACTGATCACCAGCCGCTCACGTTCGCGGTGTCAGAGGGGAACCCCAACGCAAAAATCAAGCGTTGGAAGGCGCGAATCGATGAAATCGGCGCCAGGCTATTCTACAAGCCGGGGAAAGAAAACTTCGTCGCGGACGCACTGTCCCGGCAGAATATTTACGCGCTGGGAAGCAGCGCACCGCGCTCAGACGCAGCAACGATCCACAGTGAAGTTTCAATGACTTACACGATAGAATCGTCTGAAAAACCTGTAAACTGCTTCAGGAACCAGATCATTCTGGAAGAGGCGCGCTTTCCCCTGAAGCAAATGTTTGTGCTCTTTGGGGAAAAAACGCGCCACATAATACATTTCCCAAACAGGGACGCTCTAATTGAGACCGTCAAGTCTCTGGTGAACCCACAAGTTGTGAACGCAATCCATTGCGAACTCCCAGTTCTAGCTTTCATACAGCATGAACTAGTAAAATCTTTTCCGGCGACGAAATTCTGGCATTGCAGGAATCTTGTCGCCGACATTGTCGACGATAATGAAAAAAGAGAAATTATCAACGTCGAGCACAACCGGGCCCATAGAGCCGCTCAAGAAAACGTCAAACAAATCATGTCCGACTACTATTTCCCAAAAATGACGAAACTCGCAAGCGAAGTGGTCATGAATTGCAAAATTTGCTCCAAAGCAAAATACGACAGGCACCCTAAGAAACAGGAGCTAGGGCCGACACCGGTCCCCTCGTTCACGGGAGAAATGCTTCATGTCGACATATTTTCGACGGACAGAAAATATTTTCTGACATGTGTGGACAAATTCTCCAAATTTGCCATAGTACAGCCTATAGCTTCCCGCACCATAGCGGATATTAAGACTCCCCTCTTACAACTCATGAACATTTTTCCCAACACCAAACAGATTTACTGTGACAACGAACCATCACTAAGTTCAGAGACCATCAGATCGCTATTGCACAACAATTTCGGGGTCCGCATCGCTAACGCGCCACCCCTCCACAGTACATCGAACGGACAAGTGGAAAGATTCCATAGTACACTCGTGGAAATCGCCAGGTGCCTTAAAATGGCCAAGGGAATCACCGACACGGTAGACCTATTCCTTCAAGCAACGGCGGAATACAATAGATCGGTGCACTCGGTCACCGACAAAAGACCCATCGACATCCTGCATGCAGTGGCTGCAGAAAGTAACAAAGAAGTTCAGAACAAAGTGCAAAAGGCCCAGATTGTACAAAACAATCGAGTCAACCAAGCACGGCAAAACAGAAACTTCAGTGTAGGCGAGAAGGTGTTGGTTAAAACCAACAGACGCCTGGGGAATAAGCTCTCCCCCTTGTATGTCGAAGAAACAATTGAAGCGGACTTGGGGACAACAGTCCTAATTAGAGGGAGGGTGGTCCACAAGGACAACCTCAGATAGATAGCCCGACTAAATATAAGTTAATTTGGTGAAGGAATTATAGCTGTTATTGGTAGACACTACGACTAGGCTTAAGGAAAACGATTGGTGGCGGTGTTGTGTTAGTTTTATTCCCCATATTTCATACGTATTTTTATCTACAGGGTTATCTGGGTACTTCACATCCTCACCATAGTCGCGGCTCGCGTCACCGACTACTCAAACTCAAATTACATTCCCATCACGGACGGAACGGTACTGATATGGGAAGGGCTTGATTACGTCAAGCACACGGCAAATCTGACCGAATATGGTCGCATTGTCGAGGAAACCGCCAAAATGGCGGACCTATTCCCAAAATCGCACATGAGACAGTTGCTAGACGCGGACTGCAATCACATTAGAGATATGTTGTCCGATATCAGTATCCACCACAGGCTGGCGAGAAGTCTAGACTTCCTGGGAACCGCCCTTAAAGTAGTGGCCGGCACGCCAGACGCGTCCGATTTAGAAAACACCAGGTTTACAGAAGCACAACTGGTGCAAGCAAACAACAGGCAAATTCAGATAAACACCAAGGTTCAGAACCAATTAAATTCACTCACTAGCTTGGTAAACAAGATCATCAGCATAGAAAAAAAGGCACAAATCGACACAGCCCACTTGTACGAGACTTTGCTCGCTAGAAACAGAATTCTTATTACAGAAATAGGCAACCTGATGCTCACTATAACCCTGGCAAAGGCCAACGTAGTGAACCCGGCCATTTTAGATCACACTGACATAGAATCTGTTCTCACTGACCAATTCACAGGGGTCACAGTAGCAAACCTACTAGAAGTATCTAAGATTAAAATCCTACAATCTAATAACATAATCCACTTTATAATAGAATACCCTAGAGTTAGCATAGCTTGTAGAAAGGTGACGATATTCCCGGTTGAGCACGACGGAAAGGTACTGCAGCTGACAGAGAACATTGTAGCTGAGTGCGGAAACCAGGTGTGGGCCGTCACGAGCTGCGCCCCCACAACCACCACCACGTTCTGCAAAAAGGAAGTAAGAGGTTCCTGTGCCCAGGGATTACACTCCGGGGGCACCGCTCATTGCCTTTCGCAACCGAGCCATCTGGAGCCCATCACCCTCGTCGACGACGGCATGATCATCGTCAATAACCGGCCGGCAAAGATCAGCTGTGACTCGGACACGGTGGTTACGACCGCCGGAACGCAGCTCATCACCTTCAATGACTGCGCAACCGTAAATGGCACCCGATTCCGAAATCGCAATAACATCCAACAGCGATTTCCAGGCATCGCATCAGTACCCGCTCTGAACATCTCCGGGCACGAGACTATCCTGAGCCTCCCGTTCTTACACCAGCTCAGCGAGGACAACCTCAACTACATCAAGGAGGTCGAGCAGGCCACCATGGCCAAGCTCAGCCCGCTCCACGCGTTTGGACTGGGCATGGCTCTGTGCGGAGCATTGGGGGGAATCATCTACCTCAGATTCCACCTCAATAGGAAGAGAGATGCGAGGCAAATCAAGGAGATGATAGACGGATTGAGAGCAGCGAGGACGCCCGCTCTTTAAGAGGGGGAGTAGTTAACACTCCCCACCAGCTGCAGGGTATCAGCGGAATTCCAGAAGTGGAAGACCTCTGATGCTGACTCAAGTGGACGGGGGTCCTCAAGTTACATTGTTGCATAAACATCCGCTGGAGAGCGGACCGTCGGCTCGAGGCGCTGAGGTTGCAGAACATCGGCCCGCTGCATGGGCAGCGCTGCCGTCTGGGGGGCAACTTTAAGAATATCATTTTATATTTCATTTCTTGTACTTCAGATTTAATCTCATACTTGACCGAGCCAGTCGTGCCGGTAATAAACTTTAAAACGTAATCTCGTCTTTCCTTGCCGGTGGCCGAGCCCCGGTACATATAAACGGGATAAATAATATTTAATTTATATACATTTAAAGATTAATATAAAGTCAAGCAACACACACACACCCACACAGACATAAGTTTGAGAATTGTTCAAAAACTAAAAAGAACTAAGGAAATCATTTAACTGGAAACAAACTACCTAAAACTACTTGCATATTTAATTAATTTACTGATTTAATATGCTTTATTATTATGTTAACATACAATTTCATCTCAGAGATGTTTCAAACATGCAACCAACCAACCAACAAAACAACAACAAGAAAAGCAAAGTGTAATAAAAATTAATTATAAAGTGAAGGCCTTTTTGTGTCTATGAATAAGTCCAAATGTTGAATATCTTATAGTTGTTGTTGTCTTTGCCCAAAGCTTTATTCGACCATCTACTCGTTCGATTATTTTCAATGTTGCGTATTACAGGGTTTAACTCTCTGCTGCCCCACTTGGAGATGCCTTCTGCAGGGCTTAGGACATGTTAAAGTTCTGCGTAAAGTCATACTCGATGGTGGGTATTACGGTCTGAACGAACTTCAGAAATATTATCAAATATAAATGCACGCCCAGCTGGCCGCCGCCCTCCTCGACTGTCTGGATAATCTTCTTCATGATGTCGGCGTGGCGACAGGGATGCACCGAGGCCATATTAGGACCCGGCAGATGCGGATGCGATTCCATGGTGACAGTCTTTTTCGCATGATCCTGCGAGACGTCCTCGTACATTTGTTCCACGGTTAGCGGCTTGCGCTGTTCGTCGTAGCCCACGACCCACAGGCGTGGCGTCTGATAGTATTTGTCGTAGGTGATGTGCAGATCGTAGGTGCGCGTGTGGAGCACAGAGTCGCCACTGGCCTCGGAAGTGGTGGCAGCCACGGTGCTGGACTTTGGCTCTGCTTCCAGCTTTCGTGTAGTGGTTGCCACGGCTGGGTCTACTAGATCCAGCATGCCGCTCTCCTCGAACGCATCCATGTCTATGGCCTCATCATCGTCCTCATCCTCGCCGTCAACAGCATCGCCTGGGGCCGACTTGTCGCTATCTGGAGTATGCATCTCATCCTGCGGTAACGACAATCACTTAGAGGCTTCTTCAGAGCAGATGATGCACAGATTCGCATGCACTCACCTTCGTCTCCTCCATTGTCAGTTCACAGATTTTCTCCTCCAGCTGTGTGGTGCCGTCATCGTTAAGCTGGTGTGTCTCCACCCAGCCCCCGTCCCCGGATTCCTCCTCTACCAGGGTCTCCTCGCCCACATATTCCATTTGCTTGCAGCGTCGATAGCATGGCACGTTCCGAGTTATCAGGAATTGCTTATCTGCGGGCATAATTGGCTTAATTTGTAAATCGGTTCAGTTATAATCGTGGCGTCGCATTACTCACCCTTCGGTAAGTACGGTTTTGTTTTCGTCTCATCCCCCGCCGCCCACTGCCAGGTTGGGCAATGGTGAACCAGGTGATCGCCCGCTGCCACAAACTCCTCGGGCGTCAGTACGCCAGTGTCTCGAAACTTGGACTCCTGGAAAATAGGGGAAATTAATTTAATGGGAATGCTGGGGGCGTGTTTAATTGATAGAAATATGTATGCATCGCCAGTGGGGCGCCAGTCGGGGGAGATTTGTATAGACGAGGCTGGCAGAAGGGCCGTGGAAAGGGACAATCAATACTTAATAGAGAAAGCCCTTTGTTGACCAGTATGCGGACATATCGACATATATATATGTATATAGATTCGCAGCCGATTTCAGATCTATCAGAGATTCTAATCTCCGTTGCAGCGCAAGAACAAATGGAGAAACAACAATACCTTTAGTACTGGCGTTAAATATTCGGCCACATTTAGAGCTGTGCCCTTCACGCTGTTGAGGACGCTTTGCATTGCTGTTCCTTGCTATATGAGTATTTTCTTTGTTCCAAACACCTCAACAATACGCGAGTTGTCTTGTTTATTAAAATCTGTTAATTTAATAGAGGTGTCAAACCATCGAGGGCACTATCGATAGTATCGATATTTTACTGCTAGTCTCTACTATCGACGGTTTTGCGACTATCATGATAGTATCGAGCTACAGTCGTTGCGCTTTTGATATGTTTGGATTCGGTCACACTGCGCCACCCTATCGATATACAAAGATGGTGCAGTCGACAGTTCCACACACGGTTGCAATCTGCGCGCCGCACATTGTTTTCATTTTTCATTCAACAAAAAATGGAAGAAAAAGTCTTGCCAAAATTCGTCTTGCCCTCCCCCAAATTCGCCAAGACCGAAAATGAAGCAAACAGGACAACGATGCACTATCTGACGCCCAGTGGCATGACACTGTTGCCACGTGCCAAACAGCCCCCGCCGATGTACGGCGCCCGAGGTAGCACTGTACCAGCCAAATATCTACAAATGGACCCGGTGCGATTTAAATGCGTTTTTCCGAACTTACAGATTAATTAATAATTTAATCCATCCCATTCAGAGCACGGTTACAGCCACGCCAGAAGCTCCGCCAATTTACAAATCTCCGCCTCGTCCCGAGCACTGCCACAACTGTGGCATGGAATTGGCCAACGCTCAGGACATGAGACGACACTTGGAGCAGCATGAGGCATGTCCTGCAGAAGGTTGCGACTTTGCCGCCTTGCACAACATAGTGGAGCGCCATATTGAAGCTAACCACATAACTGGGGTGTATCAGAAAGTGAAGAAGGTGTGGACACCAGAAGACACGGCTGCCTGGCGGGCAGAGCGGAGAAAAAAGTAAGTGCTGGATAAATCTTTTAGTTCAATGGGCAAGGGACTTACGCTGCGCTTACAGGTTTCCCACGGCAGCGAATGTGGAGCTGGCCAAGCGTGTCAAGGAACAACGCCTCAAACGCGGAGAGCGTCTGGAGGCTTCTAAATCTCGGTTTGGCAGACGCGAAGATCGGGCACGTACGCGACCCAACAACTCCCAAGAAAAGCGACCCAAACCTAATAAAAAGGCTAAGGGCAAGAGCCAACACGTGGAAAAGAAGAAGGGTGATGAAAGCATTCGTCAGGAAACAGATGCTTTGGAAGAGAAAACTTCCCACTTAAGTGGCACAGGCGTGCCCATGTTTCGTGGGACGGGACAGATGTTGGACTACGAACATTCCAAAGACAACGTAAAGAAGAAGGAAAATGTTCTATGTGGCCTCCTGGGGATGTACGGCTCGGATAGTGAAGACAGCGAGATTGAGGCTGAGGAAAAGGACCAAAGTCAGGGGCAAAAGAGTCCCCTATTGGAGACAGAACTGCAAGTACAAATCGCCGAGTGCAGCACTGTGGAGAATGTAAGTCCTAGGGTTGATCTAGTCGACCCAAATACGGATGTCCCCAATAACACCTTTGAGGAGCCCATTACAAATGACTGCTCTTCGGATGATGCACCCGATGAAGCGCCCATTCAACGCGTAACCGAATCGATATCGGAGCAGGCTGTAATTAAACCTCAATTCATGGAACCGAAACCCCTACCCTCCCCAAAACCAGCTGCTCCGAAGGCACAGAAGCGTATTTCTGGCCTCAACTACAAGAGAGCTCGTAAAACGACGAAACAGAACACAATGCTCTCAAAGTTATTAGCCTCCGATATCCGCCATGAGCGCAATGTGCTGCTGCAGTGTGTACGCTATGTGTGCGAGAACAACTTCTTCGGCATTGGAGCAAGCGGCAGTAGGGATCAATAAAGGAAAATGATTTCGCTTGTTTAAATATAATTATTATTCTTATTCTGTTTACGAGTAATTGTGATAAGCTGAAGCACATAGTTTCAGTTGCTTAATTTTGTACCATCTAATAGAATTGAACAATAAAAGATCACGCTGGAAATATGTCTCTGCGCGAGGTTCTATTCTATTCTATTTTATTTCATTCTGTCTAACATTCTGCCATTTCTTCGTTCCATGTCTTGTATAAGGCAATGCCCTTTATGAGCAACACCACTTGAATGACTAAAAGCAAATCCAAAAGATATGAAGCAAGAGGTCCACTTAGTGGTAAGCAATCTTACCAATCGGAAATAAAAGATAGCTCATGACACATGGCCCAAAGTTGGTCATGCAGAGCGCAACACAGTAGATAGACTTCTTTTTCTGCGAGTAAAAATGGTAAAATGAAATTAGGCCACCATTAGCGCTGCTGAAAAGTCAAGTCTCACTTTTACTATGCCAACGCGGATCAATATTCCCGAGATTATTAGTAAGGCGGCGCCAACCATATGCACACATCCAGCAATAAAAAAATGTTCGCCTTTTGAAGCATGCACAGGGGATTATCCCAGTCCGTTTAAGTATGTCTTTATTGCCATTATTTACCTGACGTCGTCATTATTCTATATGCCCAATTCATCGAGAGTAGGCCAAAGATCACGTTCCATATGGCGAACTTCTTCATTGCAGCTGAAAGCGGACAACCGCGGCAACATTTACACATGTTTCAAATTTGAAATATGTACATATAAATTGAATAAAACGCTCGAGAGAGTTGATGTGTGTAAAACTGTTCGTATTTCATTAATATGATTGTACGCCTTACGAGCATAATCAGATAAATGCCCGATCTGGTTTCTGGTTCTCCGAACTAACCTCGGAGTACATGCATTCCTATTTTAATCCTAGACATTTAATTGTTTATTCAGTTAGTGGACATTCCAGCAGATGTATCGCCACCTATGACATGTCCAACTCCAGTGTCGCCACCCGGTGAGACACCCACGCCTCCGCCAGCCTGTTGCTGTTGTTGCTGCTGCTGGGCAACGGCTGCTGCAGCCTGCTGTTGTTGCTGCTGCTGGGCGGCGGCATGTTCTTGCTGTCGCTTCTGCTGTTGCCTGGCGGCATGCGAGTGCTTGGCTTTCGTCTCCTCCAGCTCACGAACTCGCGATCGGGCGTGCTGGATGCGGTGCCAGGCCATTTGCAGCACCTTGGCTGAGGCGTAGCCAGAACCCTCGTGCGGCTGTCCGGTGGACACCTGTGTGAGGTAGTTTATTTGTTCCGAAAGTTTTGATTCCACACTGGACAAACTCTTGAGAAATTGCTGCGACTGCGTTTCGGCATTTTTCTGCGACGATTTTTCTTTGCCAAGTTCTTGCAGAGCTTGTCCTGTAAAGATGTGGATGAAATGCTGATGATATATGATATATATATATGATATACTTACCCGCACTCTGCATGCAGAGAATGATTTCTTTCTCTATTTCGTCTAGAGCGTGAATTTTATCCAATGGATTCATAGCAATTTTTTGTAAACAAATGCAATATAGAGGTGGGCAATAATCGATATCGTTTCTTGCAGTTTGCAGAATAACTGGACTTTCACACGGTTGCATTTTTGTTTGGATTTTTCAGTTTCCTCTTGTTCGGTATTTTCTGTTCTTATTTTCTGGCTTATTTTGGTATGTAGTATGTAGCTCGTTAACAGTGACACATTTTAATGGAGCCCCTGTTAAGTTTTAACATTACAAATGAGTGAAAATGTATCTATCGCGCGCAATAAAACAAAAACTGAGTTTGTTTCAAAAAATTTCACAAAACCTGGGCCGAACGCTTCGAGACGAGTTTCTTCAATTTTACAATAAATTTGGGCCTATCATCTTGTTGGAGATTGAATTGGGACCTCCTGGAGAGTACGTCATAAAATTATGGTATAAATATAACATCGCCGTATAACTAATCATCTGAATAAACTGTTAATAAACTGTCTCATTATTTGTAATTTCGCGGGTAATTACACGACGTTCGACTAGAAGTTGAACTTTTGATTGCGCCGCAAGGATAAGGGTATGAGGTGTGAAGTATGACGTCACAAAATCCAGAGATTTCAAGAAGAATACCCACCTCACCACATAACTCACCGTGCGGGATTTTGTGCTTTCGTGCAAACATGGTATATTTATTCCGTCGGGGCTAGGGTGAGGTCCTTAGGAGGCCCTTAAAAAAATTTGGCCGTCTTAATACTGGGGCCATACCTTGCCATGACCCAGTCGAAAGAGAGCACTCAAAACGCTCTCCGGACTCATTTCTGCGTTTAAATTGTGAGCCACTATCGATAGAATCGATATTTTTCTGTTTGTTTTTTTCAAAACATTCAACGTTGATATTGCTTGATTTTGAAATTCCGTTTAATGTTGTTAGCTAGCTGGCCCTCTCGGCCCTAAATGAATAATTTTATCCACTTCCTCAATAAATTTTGTTCAGGATTGACCGGTTTTCAGAACTCTTTATCATTTTATTGTTTACATAATGAGGTTCAAACAAAAAAAGCCATAGCATAAAACGTAAATGTGACGTCAGTGTTGCTGGTCAACCAAGTTTCTTCTATGCGTATGGCTTGTGTATACCGTATTTCCTTTAATTGATGTTAAATTTGTTGTTCCAAGCTTCATTGAAACATTAATAATAATAATAATAAAAACAAAAACGTATGGAACGTCGCAGCAATGAATCTACGTTCCCGTAAGATACATGTGGCTCACACCACTAAAATGAGGGGTGCAAGTCACTACGAAAGCGCTCTCCTCACCACGGAAAAGAGAACAAATTTTCAAAAGCCACCACGATTTGGGAGCGAAAAATGTCAGTAACATAAGGCGAAATCATAATATAAGGCGAAATCCTATCTAACAGGCCAAAAAAAAGTCGTCAAAAGACGCGGTATCCTATAATAATATTTTATGGCTTCCCGTAGAGCTCTATGGGTTTTTCTGAAAAATAATATGGTAGAAAATACCGATAGAAGTATTTTTATTATGGAAAGAAAAGGTTTCAAAATATAGCGGATAATACATAATATTATGGCTTGGTATTATGGGTTTGTGGGATTAGTGCAATAATTTTAGCTAAAATATCCCGACGACGGTTTTACCATACGACTGTAAATGCCGTAAATTTGGTGGACTTAAAAAGGACCAAATTGAAAAACCTTTGATTTTGCTGAAGTTATTACAGTGTAAACGAAAGTTATTATTGTTACCTTAAATATACATTTTATATTATATTCTTATATATTATTTTAATATATTATATTATTATATTCTTAAAAAACGAAAATACATTGGCTGTAAATCTTATCTTATCTTATCTTACAGTTTCCTTGGTACCCAAACCAAACCAGTCGTGCTTGAAGTAGCCTTTCGGCAACGGCAAGCAATTGTGGTGCAGCTCTATGGCATCTTCTTCAAAGTGCCATACCATGAAGCCACGTCCACAGTCGATTTTTTTATGCAATGCGAACTGAACGCGATCGCCGAAACGCGACTTGCATTTGCGGCATTCGAATACGCGATCCTGTCTATCAGCGCGAAGGAACTTGCGCACATTGCAGATCTCCTGCAGGCCCTGGAAATTTCCTGCGATGTCGGTGTGTATGATGAATGTCGGTGTGTTGTCGACGTCATCATTGCGCAGTAGATAGGGAACGGCGTATAGTTCTTTGGAGCTGGCACAGACCCGGAAGCAATACAAATTCACCTGCAACGCATCCGGTAAGAGCCCAATGTGGAGTATATCCTTGGGGCTCCGACAGATATTTTCGAATAGGGCTGTATCCATGTGTGCTCGATTGTCTGCTGTGCAAATATCTGAGCTCTTTACACGATACTGGAGAGGCAGCTTAGCGGTGGATCGCCACTGGACTGATATGGGATTGCAATGACGTTTCACGGTCACTTTCATTCGTCTAATGACGCAAGCCTCCAAGGGAACACGCTGCTGCAGCATTACATAATTGCTTATCTTCTCCAGCAACATGGAAAAGAGCATGTCCACAGACTCCACAATGTCCAGGTGGTGCTCGACGATCATCGCACTACTCTCGTAATACATTCGCTCCTTTTTCACGTTCACATAAAATCCAATAGACACATCCAACTTGGCGGCCCCAAAGCTTAGGAATCGCAGCAGTTGGGGCACTGCCTCCATTCCAGCCTCTAGTAGGAAGTCATTCGTTCTGCCAGAGACGCTCCCATCGCAGAGCATAAACGCTTCTATTCGTTCCGTCTCGATCCGCTCCAAAAGGAGTCTCTCGTCGGGACCAATTTTGATTTGGTGGCTCGTTCCGGCACCATGGTCATTTTTCCAGTGCTGACTGTAGGGCTCTCTGGCCTCCACACAACTCTTACAGGTGGGACAATCCGTTTGTAAGTCGTTGATAAAACGCTGATGGTGAAAGATACGTGAATCCCCAATTGTCTCAAAGATGAAGCGGGAGTATGTTCTTCGCAGCATGGTTAGGATTCTACTGATGATACATGGATGACTTCTTCAGGCGTTATATATGATCTTAAGAACTGTGCTTCATTAGGAACGTTAAATAACTGGCGCAGAAGGTTATCAGACGGGCTGCTAATCAACATCTGTCAGCTGCGAAGTTACCCTTAAATCCGCCGACGGACAGGTACAGAACACCAAATAGGGCATACATATTAATAAAAAAAAACTTGATCTGGGTATCTCTAAAGGGTGGATTTTACAGACCTTGGTAACCAGGTGTATTGGTCAACATATGGACGAGCACAGGTCGATGCAAAATTACCTACTTTGGCACAATCAATGGATTTATATTCATTATGCCTGTTGACTAGTTTCGGCATTAATCTCATTTCTTTTAGAATAAATAACACTTGAAGAAAAAGAAACTGTATGTAATATAATTAATGTATATACATATGCATTAGCTTCTTATTCCTATGCATTATAATTTTACAGCCATTAGAAATGCTGAAATGTGCAATATTTGGATTTATATTGGGCAGGAGAGTATTGAGGGTTTGCAGGGACCTCGGAAGAAATCTCATGTTTATATGGAGATATATGGACATATCATTCATGTACATATCTACGCCAGGCCTCGTCGAATTCATTAATTTTTAACTCATTAATTAATTTTTAACATTATTAACTTGAGAAAAATAATTTTATGTTGAACGACAGCCAACACAATTGACAAATTATTATCCATTCTTTCTTAATAAAGGATAACATTGTCCTTCCCCCGGGATGGGCACAGTGTACAGAGCCTTTAACAGTATTACGCTGAAACGTTGGAACTGTTGGAAATTATTATAGATACATCTATAAAGATGGAAATGGAATTATTGTAAGAAATTGTAAAATTTACAGTATTATTATTTTGCTATAACACAACTACATTTCACTGTGGCGACATCTGTCGACAATGTCCGCTATTCTAGTGCCGCCACAGTAATATTTTATGGTTGCCCGTAGCGCTCTATTGGATTTTCTCGAATATGGTAGGAAAAACCGATAGAGGTAGTTTTTATTATGGAAAAAAAGATTTCAAAATGAAGCGGATAATAAATAATATTATGGGATAGTGCAATAAATATAGCTAAAATATCACGAAGAATGTTTTACCATACGACTGTTAAATAAAAATATCTGGGAAAGCTGCTAAACATACTTTAAGTACTCGCCGTAAATTTGGAGGTCCTGAAAAGGACCAAACTGAAAAAAACGTTTAAGAAATACCATTATTTTAAAATTTATTAATCATTTTCTAAGTCTTAAATCTGTAAAAAAGTACCTAAAGTCACATGGCGATCTTTGACTTTCAGTTCCTGCGCATCGTACTACGGATTGCAGTCCCTGTGGATATATTTAAAGTACGACCAGCAATATTTGTACGCAACCAGTTTAATAATGCTGCTATAGTAAAAATGATTTACATCTTTATACATACAAATGTACATATATTTATTTTACTACTAATTTAATTTAGCCATTCGTTTTTGAAGTTCTTTCAAGAGGTCATCTTTTTCCTTCATCTTAAACGAATCCAGATTGTTTCCCAATTCCAGAAGGGTTATTTGGTCATCTCTGTCTTTTAGCTGCGCCTTGTATGAAGCCAAAAGTTTTTCATTTTCCTCCAGCTTGGCTTGACACGATTGCAGTTTCAGGCCAAGGCCGTCGATGGTGGCCTTGCTGTCACTATTCTGGTTGGTAAGTGATTTGAGATCAACGATCGATTGTCTTAGCTGCTTGATGGTGTTCTCGTGCTGACCAATTTTCACTTGCGATGCCCTAATAAAAGCCTTCTTTGATTTGTCCTCCAGTTCCAGTTTTGCTAATTTCTCTTCCAAATCCTTTATGAGGGCTGCTTGAGCGCTGATCTGTCCTTTATACTCCAGAGGAACTTTGCTCTGCAGCATATCTGACCTTGATTTGATTTCTGATTCCCGATTTAATTTTAGATCAGCCATATTTAGCTTACAATCATTTTTCTTTGCATAGTGCATGCCTTTAGTGAATTTTTTTTCCGCCTCCAGCCTTGTTAACTTTTCCTCTTGAATCTTTACAATGGCTGCCTGTTTGCTGATTTCCGCTTTGTATTCGTTCGCCGTGGGCTGATCTGTGTTCTTATATAGATCGAGGGATGCTTTTAAAGCCTGTATGATATCCTCTTTATCCTTGATTTTCTCCTCTAAGAAGGTCATCTTTTCCTTGGAAACCAGTAAATCGGTTTCCACTTTTCTCAATTGATTTTCCAGCGCAACAATTTGGACATCGTGCTTTTTAGGCGACTCCATACTCATTTCATGATCTTTGGGTTTTACATTTACGTCCTGGAAAAGTAAAGTGCATATTATTTGTTTATACACCAGTCGAATATCATTATCAATACATAGTGTGATCGTTGGGGTCATAAATATTGTTGCAAAATGTGACGAATCTGTTTCGTATCTACCTCCATGCTCAAAAAATAAATCGTCATATCAAGCATTGAAGAAAGCCGCTTCTAAATTATGGGGGAATTCCCGACTTCAATAAGTCCAATTGTGTGACTAATAGGTTATGAATTATAACATATTAAAGTTGTCTAACCAGAAAATAATGGGTTTCGTTTTCTTGAACCTAAATTTAATTTACGTTCTCTGAGGGCGCATTATTTTTCATTCGTGCCACACAACTTTATTGACTAAAGATCCAAGCGCACAATTTTCTATCTCAACAATAATTTAATTAACCCATGTTTTTGGTACTCACTTTGTTGTACAGTTTGGAAGGGAAGTTGGGGATAGCTGTAAGATCCATATTCAAATTATTTGTATTCTCATCTTTTTCCTCCATACTGCCTGGAAACTATTTGTCAATGTTTAGCCCGTTCTGTACGGCAGAAAAAAAGTCACTAAGCACAGGAGACTGGTGGAGCATTTCAGTATTTGCCACACATTGATAGAATATCTTATCTGCGCACTGATAAGACGTGTGGTGTGCAATAAAGTGCATATTCAATAAAGTAAATAAAGTATTGCACTTACATACATACATACATACACATGTACATACCATAATGGTTATCTCTTTTGAGGATGTTTGTAATTGATTGTATTTTTCGTATATTATTATTCATCATATTCCATTTCACGATACAGGCCAGTAATTCAGCGATTTAAATGCAAATGAATTAATTTGAAATCTTGTTTTATCTTCAATTACTACAGAGGTTGAAGAAGATTTTGACGAGCGACGGGAAAACATCTTGCATTTGTCGAGTGGCCAAAATGAATACAAATTGAATCAATTAGGCGGAATCCGCCTTGAAATGAGAGCTGTAGATGGAGTAGAGCACCTAGGAGGACGATGGGATCCAGCGAAATGCAAATTTATTTATTTTATTCCGCGTTCTTTTCGCGCAAAATCAATGTGCGGGCATTTCCTTTGCGCCCCAAATGTAAGGCGGACAAGTTGCAGGGCAGGAAACAGGTTAAGTCGAGAGCCAGCAACAAAAGTAGGCAATTAGGTTTTCTTTTTGGTTTTGTTTGTGCTTAAGAAGGAAGCAGACGGACACAGGCCTAGCCCAAGGCGTTGCAGACCGGAACGGAAACGATGGCGAAACTTGTGGGCTGGTAAGCGGAAGTTCCTGGCCCGTTGTAGCTTTTGGAACTGCATATGGAGCAACCTTATTGATTGGCTGGCGCTCGCACGTTGCATGGATTCAGGCGTTGTCTCCTTCTCTTTGGACTCCGGCGTTCCTTTCTGTCCCCTGAGCAATGTCATTGCCCCACGCGACCATCAACCCTTTAACTCGATGTTGTAGGAACTGCCAACATGTGTTTTCCTACATGTGCAACTGCGAGCTTATTTAAAAATTAATGAATCAAACCAATTGGCTATTTCGCAATTGAACTTCAAATACAATACATATATTGCCTGAGAAGCAAAGAAGAAAGATCAGCGAGGTTCTTATATAACATACCCATATTGAAAATATAAAATATTATCATCTAAAGAATAAATGTCAAAACCTGTCTATATAGACGTGGTAGACTTTATGTTTTTGTGCACGTCAAGGAATGTCGAATTTGGAGCACATTTAACATTTTGAGTTTTTCCGCGCCATAAAATCGATTGGCCCTAGAAAATAGGTCTACACAGATAGTCAGAACAAGAGTTGAAAGCAACAAGAAGAGCAACAGCAAACAATTTCTACGAGTAATAACAACAATCAACGCTCCCGACTCCTTCGGTTGTTTGGGTGCTGTGTAATTACATGACAGCAGCAGTGGGAACACCAACCAAAACTAAAAAAAAAACTCAAGCACCAACAGCACTAGCAGATAACAACAAGAACAACATCGAACAACTACACCAACGTTGGGAATTACGATAATAATTTCCATTTCTAATTTCCTTACCACGCAAAGGCTTTTGCACTTGCCAAGGCTGTCAGCCTGGAACCCAGCCCCCTCGACCAGTTGAAGCAATGCCCCATCCAACGCCTCCACTTACCCCAACCAGTGCACCTCCTACGGCTTCCACTTCCGCCTCCCAACCCCCTACATCCATCCACCCTTCAGCCTTTCCGGCAGCAGCGGCATAGGGAAGTGGAGCCAGGGCCAGACGTTGGCATAATTTCGATGCAGAAATCTAGCAGAATGCAAATGCAATCATTGACTTTTTAGCTTATAACGAAATAAGCGTCGTGTTTATTGGTTGAATCGCCGCCCTCCACCACAGAGAAGGAGGAAGATACAGAGATAAGAGAAACAGAAACAGAGAGAGATGGAAAGAAAGAGAGAGGGAAATGTGTTTGTTTGCATGGGACTTGGGGAACCTAACATAGGCAGTCATCGGGCCACCCAGCCAAGAATTGGAAACAAACGTCTAAGCTAAAATTGATCCAAAGTTGAAATGTTGAGCTGTTAAAATGATTGTTCCTTTTAAACCACTCTAAGTGGTTTCGCCATATATATATGTACTTATATGTACTGGAGTACCTGCAGTAGTGTCACTGTCAATGTCACAGTCACAGTAACGATTTAATCTGAGCTTAATTTGAGTCTGGATTCAACTTGGTTCAGGTGGAACTAGACCGCACGCCTCACGAGTGAAACTTTTGTGTATTCTGCTCCTGATGTTGCTCCCACTGTTGTTGGGAATTCTCTTGTTGTTTGTTGTAATTTGATAATGCATTTGATTAAGGAAATGAAATTTTTATTAAGGCTGTTTGCTCATTCGCGTCGCTGGCAGCGCGCGAGTTGCTTTTATGTGGCTCTCACTTTCCCTTTTCCTCTTCTGTGTGTGAGGGACTGTGTGTTGCCGTTGTCCTTTTTTTTTTTTTGGTATTTTGATAGCCTCTACATTTACACGGAGTGTCAGGGTATGTTATGTCAGTGAAAGTGTTTACAACATATTTGTATGTGAATACATATTCATAATAGCCGAGCCCGTCTTTATGTAAAGCAATATCTAAAAGGCTATAGCAGCTGTTAAAGGTGTGGAGCTTCAGGCATAGTTACGGTACCCAGTAACATATAGTCGAAATGTCTTGATTGTTTGTTTTTGTTTCGTTTTCCTGCGTTTCGCCGCACTTTTCTTTAGCTTACCTCACCCACACCAATGTTTGCCCTAACTCTGCAGTTTCGCTCTCGCATAATTTCTTTGAGTGCGGTTTGGATCTCGGCATTTTACGATGGCCAAAGTGCTTCTTTCTTGATGGGAAGGGCAGGGAAGGGAAGGGGAGTGTACCCTGTACAGGTGGCGGAGAGGTGCCATGTGCCGAGGAGGAGGAGGAGTCCTTTGTTACGTTGATTCCGCAGTTGTAATGTTGGCTTCCTGTTCTACGATTTATGCAGATTTGCATTCGAATGTTTAAATATATTAGTTCATTACCCCTATGCGTTTGCTTGTAACATATGACTCTGTTAGGTGAGAACCAAAACCCAGGGGTTTCAAATAACCTTATAAAGGACGAAAATTTTCTTCAGTCAATTTTTATTATAAGTGTATATGAGCAGCTTTCCAGCGAATAAATAATGAATATTCCCGATGGGTTAGCGCATTATAGAAACTCATGCATTTCCCTGCAGAACCCCTCCTAAGTGGGGCATATTGAACCAAAACAACGCTGATTGTATTTGGAGTTCGACATTTTCTTATTGTTTCTATACGGCTGGGAAATGTCACGAAATTAGAGGTGGTGAGGGTCTGTCGAGTGCAGTGGAATTCATATTCAACACCAGAGGGACCAAAACCAAAACCCCTTCTCCGGGCAATAACTAAGTGCGCGCTCATTCAACTCTGAAAACAAACTTTTCCTATTGTTATTACATATTTTTCCGCTACTTATTCTGTTTCTTTTTGTTTGGTTTGTTGTGGAATGGTGAGGGGGAATCCTCATCTGGTCGTTGACTTTCTACCAACTTTTTGCTTGACATTTAGCGGGGAAAAACAGCATCAACAGCATTGCTAAGAGCCAGAGGAATAGGCAGGCGCCAAATATAATTTAAACATGTTAAGTGTTAGCTGACCAGGCCAATCACCCCTCACCCGCCTCCCGACACTGTCCTATGACTAGAATCCTTCTGCACCCGCTACCCGCTTAGTTCACTTAAAGCATCACAGCTTCGCCTTTTTATCTGTTGTTCCGCACCTGTTAAGTTTAAGGTCACAACATATTTCCACAGACCATCGAAATGTGGGTCATTGGCTGTAATGTTCCTTTAAAGACGTGGCCACAACTATTATTAAATTTGAATCAAAGAGTCATTTGATAATGCACAAGATCCTAAATGCAGAAAGGTATTTTTGGACGCTTTTTTTTAAAAGCTTGGGTTTCATTTTCATTTATTTGTGAATAAATTAAAAAAAATTAGTTTTCGAAATATATGTAATAAAATCGTTCCTCTCTTTATGTCATTTTTTCTTATGATTAAACGAATTAAGCAAAAAATGAAAATACAAATTTCTGCTAGGCCGAAAACTGTATGAAGCGATTTTAACCGAGGGAAAATGTTAAGGATTTTCAAACTGCCCCTTCGAACTTGCTAGGACAATACAATACTGGTTTGCTGCTCCTTTTCGAACATGTGCGTCACAACTGTTTGCCCCTGCAACGCAACCTGTTGGAGTCCTCTCTCAAACATGTCTGTGCGACCAAGTTGAACATGTCCCGAACGTTCTGCCATCAGTTTCAAATTTGATTCCAGCTTTCAATCGTGCCACAAAGCAAATTTTCGTGGATTCCACAAAAAGCGAAGGGAGAATGGACCTACCTCAAAGTCACTCATTTGGAATAGACAATGGGCCGCAATTACAGACACGCTCGCTTCTTTTTGGGCAAAGGTGGAGCCTGGGGTGGGATAGGTTCTCCGGTATGCAGTGCCATTCCATACACACACACACACACACACACACATATGAAAACAAATGTGGGAGCGTGTGTGGAAAGCCTACTTCCTTTGATTCCATTCCAAAGAGGTGCGTGCCCGGGCCCGTATCGCTGGTTTGAAACGTTGTTCCATTGTCCCTCATCGCCGGGGGTGCATGCAGCCGATACGGGGTTCAGCGGACACCGGATATGGTGAATTATTCACATTTTGACGGACCGGAAACGGTACTATCAATACCCACCCATACATACCCATACCTGTCTGGAAAATCTCCTCTTCTTGTCCGGCCTCTCAGTCATCGTTCTGTGGTTTCTGTCACCTGGCTGGCACTCCAGTGTGGATGCCATTGCCATTGGCATTGCAAACTAAGCGATTTATAAACGATTTACCAAACTTCGTTTCGACCTTTTTGGGTTTTTGTGGCTTTGCAGCTCCTGATTCTGTCTCCACTCCGTCTCCTGTCTCCTGCGGTCCGTCGCATGTCTCCCGTCCTCCTGCGGTCGAGTGTTAAGTGGT